TCTATTTTAATATGTTTAAATGGTGTAGCAAATTTGAAGGTAGGCTTTATAAGGAAGTATTACAATATGAATTGCACAATGGCAACACTGCATAAAATTCGTTTAAATTTCGTTTGTAGAAAACTGTTTTCCTTTAAATTTATCGCCCTCTATTATGTAGTAGCGAAACTACCGCATCAAAGTATCTGATTTGGAGACAGGCTTTTAAAACCTGTCTCCTTTTGATACCTACGATTTTATACGTGTAACGAGGCTTCTGTTGCGTAGCTAGATATTCTCTGCTGATATAGTCACAGATACTACGCATGCGCACATCGTCGATGTTGCCAGATTGCAGGTTATTTTGGATTTATTTTCAGTAGAAAACAAATACGTAATTGTTTTTCAGCATTTTTTTGTCAATATATACCGTATGATCGAAAAAAACGACATCCAGTTAGCTGGGAAATGACGATCGATGCAATTTCCCATATAAATTTACATATAAAATGACAGCGATCTTCATTTCATAGTCATCGCTGACGCCATTTCTTTTTCGATCATACGATATTATTTTAGTACCATTTATTATTTTAATATTTAACAAAGCAAGTGAACGCTTATTATGTATATTCACAGTCAATAAAATTAAATAGAAATAAAACTCTAGATTGCTATAATTAATCTAATTGCTCTAGATTATTATGTTATGTTTAAAAAATGCTTTATTAAAAATTCGGAAAATTAAAAGGGATGTGTCCAATTTTCTTCCTTTTTTTTGAATTTTTAAATGCTGTAGCTCCATATCATGTTCATAATAGGTTTTAACATTCCATTAAATCTACGTAGGCCTTAAAAAGGCCTCCGTAATTATAACTGTAGAGTCAGCAATATTAATAGGTACCTTGTTTAATTCTGCTTATACATATATTGCATTAATTTTTCTGCAACCTTAAGGTTTTTCTATTCTTACACCTAATTTATATGATTTTCTTAGCATATATGATTTATAAACAATATTTTTCCTAATTGGAAAGATTTGCAAGTATCAAGATATCCTAATATTTATTCTCCAATCTTTCTTATCCAAGATCAAAAATGAACCTTCACCATATTATCGAGATTTTTGCATTACAGGAAAGAAATTACAGTAAATTAAGAAGAATATCAAAGTACAGGATATTAAATACTGTAATGTATTCTACGACACAAACCATATCCCTTCTATAGAGAAAAAGATAAAGCATAAAGCTCATTTTAATCCTATCAGCATTCTTCGATAAATTTTTTTATTGTGAAAATGTGCCTATAATGGATGTAATAAATGTGTCATATTGGCAATTCAAAATAATTCTAATAAGTTTAAAACCAAAAGAAAAAACCCGTAAATGATAATTTTTAATTCTTATATTGTGAAATATATAAGTAAATGTTATTATTATTACAATATTATATTACTTACAACTCCGATTACAATCATAATTCCTTTACTTAACACATGTAAAACCAAACCAAACCAAACACCGTGTATATTATTATTTTATTAGATGGAGATTTAAAAAATTAAAATTTTTTGTATTTAAAGTATTTCAATATCTTTAATAGTTTCGCAGATACACGCAGTATTATTTCATATGGCGCTTTCAATGGTTGCGAAATACGAGAGAAAAATTATTGGGTGGCTTTGATAAAAAATTACTGTGGAAAATGCCAAATGAAATATACAACCGCGAACATCTGCGAAACCGTTAAAAATGTTGAAATACTCTTAATACAAAAATTGTACATTTCTTAATTCTCCATTTATTGAAAAAATAATATACAGGGTGTTCCATTAAAAAAAAACAAGAAATATTATTTTATATTTGAGAAAGTTTGGCGTATAATTTTGAACATCGATCCTGTATGATTTATGATATCCATATTTATAGCCAGAGTTATAGCCAAGTAAGTAGAGACCATCTAAAACAAATACCTAATATAATTTTGATTTCTAGACAGTTCTTGTATTTTTAATAATTTTTTTAAGAAAGGCTAAAAAATATATTTTTTTTACTTATTTATTATCTCTGAAACTATCGAAATATATTTACTCATATCTTACGATTATATAATGTGATCTGAAACGAACCCAAAAATTCAATAATATACGGGGTGTTTCATTTAAAAAAATTATGTTATATTCACTCTTATTAATTATATTCACTCTTTTTTGAGCCATCCTATAGAAGTTAAAATATTTTCCTGAAATACATCCTAGTACATATTTTAGGTATGCACTTAAACAAAATTCCCACATCGTTTATTCTAGCAGCTACAGGTGCCCGACGCACTATTACCGGACCCTGTATTAAGCAGTTGTCTTTTGACACCAGCTTTCCGTAGGACTTCTTTGCTTGAAATATGATCGATAAACGAGATCTTAAGTAATCTGCGGAGTGTCTACATCTCAAATGCCTCGATGAAATTTAGGGACTTTACTTGATTGACCATGTTTCCGCAGCATACAACAGGACGGGCATAGCGTTCTGCTTAGTATACCGGGTGTTGCATCGTCGGACGGGACATAGGAAATCCCATGTAAATTTTAATGGGGTCTATTATTGGCTTCCCTAATTATTTTAGAGAATAATTCTATTTAGGTTTATTGAAGAATAACTTTAGATATTTTTGATTAGCTCGTTTACGAGTTATCGCCCGATTTCTTTTTAAATATTTCTCCTTTCTTATGGCCCTGTATTTACTTATGAGCACCAGCCAAGGTAAAAAATAACTGTCAAATGAAGTTGTCATTTCAGAAATTTACTTATTTAGCATAGATAAATGCAACAAGTTTAGATTGGAAAGCCCGTAAAAATTTTAGATCGCGAAATTATTTTGGGTCGCGACCGTTATACGCGATCTGGCGCTGCTATAGCGGTCGCTAAGAACAACGGCAAACAAAAACAGAAATAATTTTCTCTTGTCAAAGTCAGAATCTTCAAAAATCATAATAATCTTTCAAAATCTAAACCGCTTTCATTAAAGAAATTCCGAAAAGTGTTTATAGCGTCCATTTTCAAAGTAATTATTGCTATCTTGTGAGTTTAATTCCAGTTTTATTTACTCCAACCGGTGATAATTGTGAAAAAGTGGCATTAAATAGTTAAAAAGCTGTGCTGTGAACTGCAAAAACCATCGTGGATCGTGGCATAACGTCGGTTTCCAATGTTTCATAGGTATTTCATACATGCGTCCTTTATATAAATGCTATTTAGTGCTTTATTATTATTAAAAACTCATTCCTACATCGGAACTCTTAAAGATGTATTTATAAATATAAATTAATATGAATTAAAGTAAAATAAAGTAATCAATTAAAGGTTAATTATAGTATTATTACAATATTCAATAACTTATTAATTTAGGTACTATTAAATTGTTAGAACTTTAGGATTTAAGATGTTCAAATATTCCTCCATCGACTGCTAGACAATAACCCAGGCGATCATAAAATTCTCTTCTTACATTCGCTAGTTGGTAAACTGAAATTCTATTGCATTCGGCAGAAATAGCATTTTTTAACTCGTCTAGAATTGGGTATTTTTTATCCTTGTATATCCTGTTTTTTAAATGGCCCCAGAGAAAGTAATCATTTGGCGAAATATCAGGAGACCTTGCTGGCCAATTTACTGTATGATTTTGGCCAATAACGTTTCCGTTAAAACTATTGTCTAAATATTTCCGAACAGCCAGGGTACTATGTGCCGGGCAGGTATCCATTTGGTACCAAACTTTCTGATTTTCCCTAGCGGCATCATGTAAAGCAGGTAAAATATGATTTTCGAGTAGTTCCATATAATATTCTGCATTTAAATTTGGCCAAAAAAATAATGGCCCGATAATATTGTGTCCGAATATCCCTGCCCAAACATTTACTTTCTGTGGATATTGCGTCCTTCTTTCGACAAACCTGTGTTGGTTTTCTTCGTTCCAATATCGATAATTTTGAACATTGGATTCATTATTTAAGGTAAACGTGCATTCGTCAGTGAAACATATGTTTTTTAAAAATTCCCTATCCGTGTTTGCTCTTTCCATCATATCAAAACAAAACGCCTGCCGCCGTATTTCGTCCCCATCTCGTAGCTCTTGGTGCTTTTCATATTTGAAGGAATAGTATTTATGTCATTTCAAAATTCGAAACGCTGTAGTGTGATCTATTCCCATTTCATCCTCAAGTTTCCTTGTGCTGATCTTTCCATCGTTCTCTTCCACGCACAATAAAACTTCCAAGTCGGTATCATTTCTTGCATGTTCTCTTTGTTCCTGCCTTGCTTCACACCTACAGTTGTTTATTAGGGTACCTTTGGTCTCAAATCTCTAGATATTCCTTGCGATTGTAGATTTTCCAGGTATCGGTCTATTCGGATACAGAGCAGCAAACATGTCCGACACCTTTTGATAACTATTTCCTTTTTTTCCATTTAATCATCAATACTTTTTCTTCGGTAGTGTAATTCATGGCTAATATTCTCGATGTAGGTATGAGTTTTTAATAATAATAATAAAGCACTAAATAGATAAATTTCTGAAACGGCGATAACTCGTAAACGGGCTAATCAAAAATACATAAAGTTATTCTTTTGAATGTGGGTTTTAGTGCTCTTCAATAAACCTAAATAGAATTATTCTCTAAAATAATTAGGGAAGCCAATAATTGACCCCATTAAATTTTACATGGGATTTCCTATGTCCCGCTTGACGATGCAACACCCGGTATATAAAATATGATCATTGAAAGACTAAAGTGTATAAAGTCGAGTCTTTTTAGATTGGGCATTTAAATTTTTTGAGATTTTCGGGAACCAGGGATTTAATATCGGGATTTCAGGTATATAATACACCGGGACTTCGGGAACCCGGTTTGGACACCCGAATTCCAATCAATTAATAGTCAACATTTATTCTATTCATTTGCGATTCTAATGGCCATAAAAATCACAAATATACAAATATAAATATTAATGAAACTATTTAAACATTTTTACACTATTTTATTGCATATCCAAAATTAATGCCAGCACACATAAATTCTATCAACTGCTAGAATCTTAACGTTATAACTCTTTAGTATGTATTTGTAATTATTGTAATTAAATAATTGTAACTTGTGTAACTTTGAAACTGTTTATTGAATTTCAAGTAACTCTACATCAAAAATGAGAGTGGAATTTGGTGGAATAATTCCTGGATGACCTCTTGAACCATAGGCATAGTCAGGGGAACAAACTAGTTTAGCTCTCTGGCCGACACTCATCTGTAAAATAATGAAAAATCTTGTATAGTATCATGGATAATAATAATTATTTTCACTCAAGTCTGTCTACAACTCAGAATAGACCAGTTGTCATCAACTCGGCACAGATACTGTACACAATAAGAGCGCAAGGATAATACACATCACAGAAGGTTTTACATTTAACAAGTTCAAATCATAATCAAACATATTCTATAGAAATAAACGACTTATGAATAAACATTGATGTAGTCGAGAAATGGGGAAAGTAGTGTATCGTTGGTGCAATGATATTATCTTTGTAGATACGGTAGTGTTTTCTCTGTGCATTTACGGCCTTATTTTACGTAAAAAAGTCTCTTTGTAAAAATCGCCGCGAGCAACCGTTCTCAAGATATTTGGATTCTTTAAATTAATACATGCCCATCAATGACAAAAATTACACATGTTCAATAGGTAGTTATTAGACTGAAATAATTTTGGAAATGTGTTTGTGCCAAAAGTTCAACAGAAACTGTTTTATCATAGTTTATTTCTAGAATTGATGATTAATCTAAAAAAAATAATGTATATGCAGTCACAATTGAATACGAACTAACCAAGTACATAGTCATCAGTCCTAAGTATACCTAATAAAGAGGAGGCCGTAACGGTCCCATGAACTATAATAATGGATCATTTCATACTTATTTATGGCCCGGAAAATGTGGTTATGTTGTAAAGAAAATAAGAACTGATTTAGGTACTGAATACAAAAATGAAATTTTTGAAAATTTAACTAAAATGCTTAACATAAGTCAAAAGTTTTCGACTGCTTACCATAATCAAACGATAGGAGGAATTGTAAGAAATCATAGTTCTCGATTACCTCAGAATATGAATAAATAGCTGACTGGGTGCAATATTACAGTTTGTTATAACACGACGCCAATCATCTATCATGATTTTATACCGTCTGAACTGGTGTTAGGACTGAAGGCAATCACCTCTGAAACACTTTCAGGTACTATAGATTCCGTATTAGACGCTTACTATCATGAAGTAAGATATAAAATCTTCCCCTAGGAGATGCAAGACCTTGTCGTTGGTGGGGAAGCTCTTGGTCAAGTGCTGGGGGGAATCACCCTAGCGCTTGGCTTGGTCTAACAAGCATCTCACTCATCGTCTTGTCCCTGGCTGTAGTGTCGTTGCCAGGGAATTGCACCAAGACATATATCGATGCCGGACGGGGCTACCCCTGTCCGTCATACCAGGCACCCTCTATTGACTGTGGTTATGTCTCGCGGGTAGAGGGTGTGTGTGGGGGGGGGGTGCTCTTGGCTTAACCACCTGGACCAAGAGAAGATAACCTCACCAAAAACCTATATCCTACGATGGCGGGACCAGGTCAAAGGGATGCGTGGCTAGATAGAGGACTAGCCATTACTGGCCTCAACCTTGGGGCATCAGGGGGAAGCCCATTGTATTTACCCCCTACTTCTACCAAATCCAAAGGAAACTACAAGAAGGGCGGCTGACACTTGCTTGGGATCATCCTCCACAAATGGCACACAAGCTACCACCTTCTCCAGCAAGGGTCGGGAGCCTACCTCTAGACCCAATAAGCGACACAAGCTACCGTTTCGTCTACCCGGCCTGGGTCAACCAGGCGGGCTAGACGATCCTCTGAGAGTAGTCTTAGCGGACAAGAAGCACGGAGATATCTTCGACTGCTCCACGAAGGATTTGCTCCAGAGGAAGCAAAAGTGAAAACACTCAACTAAATAAGAGAAACGAGAGTAAAGAAACCAAGAAACAACCTGACTCATCTCCATCAAAGGGCAAGCGAGGGAGCGAGAACCTCTCACCTCTTCTCCGGAAGGGAGAGAAAAAAGCCAGGATGGAAAGCCATCCAACACCGGGAGGCAAGCAGGGACGTATCACCAGCTTTGCCGCTATAGCTGGACAAGTGAAGATGGCGGTGCTGCCAAAGGATTTCCCACAGGTTGCTCTGACCACCGACCAGCAAACGTCTCTAGAAGAGGCATACTGGATACTGGACGAAGTAGGGGCGATCGGATCGCAACACAACGATCTACAAAATGTGGGTCAGCTGCGTTTTGCGGGGATACACTTTCGGGTGGGCATGATCCTCATAGATTGTGTATTTCAAGAATCGGCGAATTGGTTGGTGGAAATCGCACCTAAGCTTAGAAATTGGCAAGGGCCGGAACTGGTTGCAGTGAAGGGAGAAAACATCTCTAAAGGGGCGGCCATCACGGTCTTTCTGCCGAGGAGCAAGGGGAAAAACACCACCTACCTGCTGAGCCTTATCCAGGGTCAGAACTTCAATGTAAGGACATCGAGTTGGCGAGTCAATCAACTCTAGGGAGGAGAGTCATGGCCAGGTCCTCACAATAGGAATTGACTTCAAATCCAAGGAGGCAATAGAGAAAGAGGGACATATCCTCTATTATAGATACGGGATACCGGTATCAGGTCTAACGAGAGACCAAGTTAAAGAGGTGGAGAAAATGAAGACAGACCCTCCAGCCTTCACCTCACGGGTTCCTCAGCCGGAAGAAAGCTGTGAAGGGCGGCACGGAGGGCCAAACTCCGACCGTGGAAGGGTGTGTACCCTCAGAGGAAGAACTGTTGTCAGAGGAGGATGGGAAATACCCTGTCCCCTCTACAACAGAGGTATGATGGCTGATATACTGTGTGATTGTGATGACTCAGGGAAGGGGGACACAATAGATATTTAAGGTCGCAGTGATTAACCCCCCCTCTTACTCATTCTACATTCTACAAGTATATAATTAGCCAATAAACGTGCTGTTAATTTAAAAACTAAACAAAAACGGAAAGTCATTCATGACAAATTTTCTAACAAAAACTAATTTTAAACCAGGCGATTTGGTTATGTTATCTAACAAAAATAGAATAAAATTTGATCCTTGGTATAAGGGTCCCTACTCAATTAGTAGTATTGAAGGTGAAAATTGTGTAATTAAAGATTGTGTAACTAATGGAAAGCAAAAGTAATTAAAGATTGTGTAAAAACGGAAAGTGAACAAAAACAGTGTGCGTTCGTTGTCCAATAACAGCTAGCAAATAAAACAAACTTTATTCATATTTTTAAGAATTTCATAGTATATTTGACCAAAAGCGAGTGTATAATAGTTAAGTTAGGTCAATATAAAAATGATGGGATAGACAAGTTATTTAAATCATCATATTATGTGTAACCCCCTTTTAGAAATATGTATTTTTTAAATTTATTTGCTTATTGAACATGTACTTACAATATAGTCTTATGAAATTGTACACTAATAATCATAATTTTATATTAAAATATGTTTTTAACGATCTTGCCTATATTATTGTAAAAATATATAATATATATATATAATAAATAGGATAAGTAATATTGTATTATGAAAAAAATACTTATACAGGGTGGGCCGAACTGTATTCCGGAAACTTTGGCAGCATATTCTGCAGATAAAAATAAGTACAAAAGTTCGTATAAATGTATGTCCTAAAATGCTTAGTTTCGCAGATACAGGGTGTAGAAGTTTCATTTTTATTTCGATATTTTCCAAATAATTTCTGAAGTAACGTCAATATTTGGATGAAAATTGGTATCTAGAAGTTTTTTGACATGAGAAATTTGGATTCTGATGTCAATATGACTCCTATTTGTAGGGGGCGCCACCTACGTGTGTTTAAACTGTTTTGAAGCCTAATAACTTTTTGTCAGTACCTGTATAAAACTACTGAGGGAAAAAATATACATCTCTGTAACTTTTTACGTAAAAAATATTTCTTTGTAAAAATCGCTACGAGCAACCGTTCTCAAGATATTTAGAATGGAAATAGTCAATACATGTCATTATTGACGAAAAATAAACACGTTGAGTAGATAGTTATTTCACCGAAATAATAAATTTGAGAAATTTTTATTTTTTTAAATTAATCATACATATTTCTGCAAAAAAATGACGATAAAACAGTTTCTGTTGAACTTTTAGCACTAATAGCATCAGTCTAATAACTATTTAGTCAACATGTTTAATTTATGTCAATGATGACAGGTATTGATAATTTCTATTCCAAATATCTCGAGAACCATTACTCGTAGCGATTTTTATCAAGAGATCTTTTTTACGTAAAAACCGTCGTAAATGTTTATTTTTTTAATCAGTAGTTTTATACAGGTATGGCCAAAAAGTTATTACTCTTCAAATCAGTTAAAAAACATGTAGGTGGCGCCCTCTACTAGTAGGAGTCACATTGACATCAAAATCAAATTTCTCATGTCAAAAAACTCGCAGATACCAATTTTCATACAAATATTGACGTTACTACAGAAATTATTTGGAAAAAATCGAAATAAAAATGAAACTTCTACAGCCTGTATCTCCGAAACTAAGCCATTTTAGGATATACATTTATACATACTTTCTTACTTATTTTTATCTGTAGAATATGCTGCCGAAGTTTCCGGAATACAGTTGGGACCATTTTGAGTCGTATTGTTTTATTATTTTTAATAGTATCTAGTTAATAGATGTTGGTCAGCTTAATTATAGCAACATTTTAATTATAAAATTGTGACACCCAATGGATATCACATAATTATTATTGTCATTTTTGCTTATGCTGAATGTCTTTTAATTGTGACCAGAATAAAGTTCATTCAAAGGGGAGATGTAGTGCGACCCGGTTATACTCAACAATGTTTAATATTTTATAAATTGTTGCAACAACAACAAAAGCATAGCGTACCATCTTTTTGTAACTAGGTTAGGTGATTCGAATAAATGTATTCAAAGGGTGAACATGTGTTTGATTTTCCTATATTGAAATGAGACATCATACAAATATTTTCAAACTTATTGTTAGCAGTACTCTCTCAGTAGATTTTTTTTCCATCAAAACCTATTGTAAGGTCTATTAATCAAATATTTACTTATAACAAAAAAGCACACGAAAAACACTTTTTTATTATTTTTTTTGCTCTGTAATATAATGTAAGA